CAGACAGATCCAGGTACATCCTGGCACATCCAGGTAAATCCAGAGATCTCCAGGGAAAGTTGAGCAGATCGTGGCCGCTCCCGCGCGAGTCGAGGGACGGCATAAGCCGTTGAGCCCTCAACGAGAGGTCCCTGGAGGCCCCGGACGCCCTCCGTAGAGGGCAGAGGAACCACCTTCCATATGAGCACCCCTGCAAGCGAAGCCTTTTAGCAAACGCTCCTCAAAACGAACTCGAACGGGGCAGGGTGGCTTAGTAAACATCTGGGATTATTCTGCAAACGCCAATGATGGGGGCTGGGGTACTTGTTCCTCTCTTGGCTCTGGCACGAGACCATAAGCGTGCAAAAGCCTCTGACCTACTGCATCGTGTCGTCTAGTTGAGTTCGTTTTCTTACTCTTGCGTTTCTTGCTTTTGCTTTTTCTTCTTCTGATCATTGTTATTCTTTCTCGGACCGCAGTCCTCGAACCTCGACCCCTGAGCGCCCTGCGCCGCTGTCGCCGCCACGCCGACGCGGCGCGGGCCCGCCGGCGACACTCTCCCACACCCCATCGCGATCAGCCTGCCGCGCTGCGCCGGGACGCGGCCGCGGGGGAGAAGAACGCAGGAGTCAGGATCACAAGTGGCAATCACACTGGGCGCGCCAACCCCTTCCCCTGGGTCTGGAACCCTCCCCCCCCGCGAGGTGTCAGAGGGTCCTTTCTGGCCCCATATGGCCCCAAGAGGGTGCCAGAGAGCTCAGGATGGCCTCCAGGATCGCTCAAGACACCCCCAATATGGCTCAAGACTGCCTCCAACATGCCTCCAAGAGCCCTCAAGACCGCCCCAGGACGGCCCCAAGTGCCCTCCGAGCCTCCCAAGGAGGCGCCCAGGAGGCCAACATCTTTCAAAAAAGCCACTTTGCGTTTCAATGTTTTTTAGCCTTCTCGCCTTTTCGCTTCCGATGGGCTCCTGAGGCCTCAAGATGGCTCCAAGACGGTCCTAAGAGCGCCCACGAGCGCCCAAAGAGCGCGCCAAGAGGGTCCCAAGAGGTTAACATTCGGACCCAGACGGGGGTACTCTAATCTACGCCGCTGTCCTTTTTGTTCGACGGCCTCCAAGATGGCCCCAAGATACGCCCCAAGAGCGCCTCAAGAGGCTCCAAGAGAGCCCCACGAGGGCCCAATGGGCCCCTAAGATGGCCCCAAGAGGACGATGGCCCCAAGAGGCCTCCAATATGCTCCCAGAGCGAAAGATCGCAAAGGTCTTGACATTGCCTCCTGTCGTCGTCGTGTCTACACGCGCCCAAGTTTACGCACGCACGGCGATCAACGACAGGCAACCACTCCACCAAGGCGGCACCACAGACGCACGACGTATTACAGGCACCGGAGGCGACGACAAGCAATCACTCAACCAGGACAACCACGAGGAGCCGTCTTGGGTGCCGGGCCGCATACTGCTACACATCCCTGATGGGGGCAGCTCGCCTCGTGTCTGTTCTTGGATGGGCTGGTGGGAATATTTGTTTGATCGCAACGACGGCGAGACAGGTCGGGCGGCGTAAATGAACGAAGCGCAGATGTATCGGCCCAAATCAGCGCACAGGAGGAGGGAGGCGAACAGAGGAAGAGGACGAACGCGGAAGAGAAAAGACCAAGCGGGGTTCCCCAAGCAGTGCTTGCACGGAAGGGGTCCTTACTCGTTTTACCACGTAATTGGGTGGGGGCGTCGAGGATTCACACCGCTCCCGCCCGTCGCCGCCCGTGGCTCGTGTGAGTGCGTCGAGGCCTCGCCACGGTCCCGCCCGCTGCCGCCACGGTCCCGCCCGTGGCCGCTCGGGTGGCTGCGTCGAGGCGCCGCCACGTTCCGGGCCCGTTGCCGCCTCGTGCGCTGCCGCATCCAGTGGGGAGGCGCGAAGCGTCGAGAGTGTTGAAAGCTAGGTCCCCTTGAGTGGGACCCAGCTTTCCCTCGGCACGTCTGCGGACGTGAGGCGTTGCGGCCACAGCGCAGCTTGCGCCACGCAGTTTCCACCACATGGCCTGCACCACGTAGCTTCAACCACATAGCTTCCACCACCAGAGTGCGAAAACTCACTGTTCGGGGCCCACGTTGGCAAACATAGCAATAAAGATGTCGCTAATCCGCCACCGTGCCCTTGGCACGAAGTGGAGTGCCGCAAGGCTGCTGCAACCAGGACTCTAGATTCTCAAGGGCCCAGACCCCAACTTCACAGGCGCTCTTGTGCGCTCTTGGGCGCTTCCAGCGAGTTCCGCGTGGGCCTCCAGTACGATTCCCTCGCTCAGGAGGGCGCCCAACCAGTCCAAGAAAGCCCTGGGAGGCCGCCCAGACGGTCCATGAGGGCCCAGAATCGTCGAACGATCGCTCAAAGACGCCCAAGATGGCCTCCAGACGGCCCTAGAGGCCTCCAAGACGCCTAAGAAGCCTCCAGGGGGGCAGGCCCCAAGAGGCCCCCAATGTGGCCCCGAGACGGCTGCAGAGACCCCCCACAAGGCCCCAAGACGACCCGAGAGGCCCCAAGACGGACCAAGAGGCCCCCAGGACGGCACAAGAGGCCCACCAAGGGGCCCCATGAGCGGCGCAAGAGGGGGAGCCAAACTGGTATTTCGAGCCTTTCCCCCCCCCAAGATGGCACCCAAGGCCCCAAACCGTGAGGACTGTGTGGCGTCACGCCATTTGCCGAGGTCTACCCATGGCGGCAGCACGACCGACAACCGATCGAACTGACAGCCTCGCCGAAACCAACGACTTCGACAGGTCGCAAGCAGCCTAGAGCCGAGCGACGCAGCAACGGCACAGCAACCGAACCGACCGGACGCAACCAACTGCGACGCAGCCGAACTGACCGAACCGCGGACACCCGTTGGCTCGGACGAAGGGGCGGGATAGCAAAAGGGGGGTTTAGCGAATGAGCTCGCGCAGCTGATTTTCCCAGCGCCTTCCGGCGCCGAAGGCGCCAGTGTGCCGAGGAAAGCGCTTGGCTGCGGAGACGAAAACGGCTGCATGCAGCGGATTTGGCTCCCTGCCGAGAGCGATCAGCGATGGGCCATCGACACGCGAAGCCGCATGCCCCTGGGAGGGGATGGGGCAGCACCGCCCCGATTGGCGATGAGGGGGCGATTGGGAGACGATGCTCTCCCTTCCCCGGACCGCGCACATGTTCCTGCCGAGGTCGGCCCGCCTCTTCCGAGTTGGCTCCCCTTCGAAGAGGAGCGGTCCAGAAACAGGACCGGGGGGGGTTATGGTATGGTATGATGTGGAGTTGCCCTGAAGGCGTAAGAAGTGGCATCAAACAAAAAACTCGGCCTCGGACTCCTGATCTTCGTCAACGTCCGAGCCGCGAATGGCAAGGCGGCCTATTTCGCGGACAAGTTCGAGCTTCCCCTCCTCCAGCCCGAACGCCCGAACAACCTCCGCCCGCCCCCCCCCCGCTTGGCAGGAACGCCTCAGCGGGAGCCGCCGCTGCGACTGGTCTCGCTGTTGTCTGCTCGCCTATACTATATCGGCACTCATCGGGGGCAATACGCCACTGTGCCTGCACAACGTGAGGCCCCGCACCTTAGAGCGGAACGAAAGGAACTGTCCTTTGCGAACTCGACGCAGCTGATCCGACCCCCCAGACTTAGCCTGGTGTCTCGGACAGGGGGCCTCCGCGCTCGACGTCAGGTGCCCTCCCGAGGCCACTGCCCTGCAACTGCCACAGAAAACTGCGCATTTCACTGGGGCCACGCGCTCTTATGCTTTCGCCTGCAGAAGGTTGCGGCCTCGCCACCGGAAGGTGGACTGAGCGAACTCCTCCCGCCCCAGCCCAGCCCCGTAGCCCCCAGACTCGCCCCCCAGCTCCCCTTCATCATCAGGCTCCTCGGGCGGCGGCGCAGCCGGTGGCTCTGCTTCGCGGCCGCCGTCCGCCCTGGCCAAAGTGGACCGGGTGAGGGGAGGGAGGAAGGAGGAGGGATAGATGTGGTGGGTGGCAACTGGTGCCTGGAATGGTAGGTGGTGGCACGAATGCCTTGAGATGGAGGTACGGGTCACCCCTCCCTACGGCCGTCTTCGTTGGCCGAGGGACCGTAGGGGGGTCCTCGGCCCCCTCCGGTGCCTATTGACGGCAAAATGGAAGGTTGACTGGTGGGAGCGGGAACCCTCGCAACCCCATTGATGGAAGCTGCGAGGGGTGTGAGGCCTAATGACGGTCCTCACCGACGAGGCCTATTGACGGTCCTCGCCGAAGGGAGGGGCGAGAGGGAGGGGGGCCACTCCGAGTGTCGATGCCGTCCGCGATGCCCGCGATGCCTCTCACTCCTGAGGCGGGATTCCTGCAAATGGGAGCCCACAAACCAGCATACACAGTTTCGACTCCGAGACTGTGTATACGCCACACACCCCGGAACCTCCAGGACAAAATTTTTCACTACATCGACGGACCAGTTTCTGGTCGGTCCCCCGGCGTTGCGTTTCAGCATCCGTCGGTGGCAAACCCAGATCCAACCGCCAACTCGATCGATCGGCGTACCCCCTTGAATTCCCGAGGCAACGGCGTACCCCCTTGAATTCCCGATGCAACGGCGTACCCCCTTGAATTCCCGATGCAACGGGAAAGGCCTGAGGAGGAGGAGGAGGAGGGAGGAGGAGGGAGGAGGAGGAGGAGGAGGAGGAGGAGGAAGAGGAGGAGGAGGAGGAGGAGGAGGGAGGAGGAGGGAGGAGGAGGAGGAAGAAGAGGAGGAGGAGGTGATGATGATGCGACGCTCGGCTTCGTTTTTTTGGGGGGGGATGCCGCGGCATCGCGCTTCCAGACCTATATTGGCGTCGGGCGGTGAGGTGTCTTGGACTCTGCGCCTGCGTCGGCTGCCACTGCTCGTCCTTTGTTGCACCCAGTGATCACAACGCAAAAGTTATGAGAACGTCCGAATTCCAACATCGCCTCCCACATCTCGTTCGACAGCGCCAGAGCCCGCGGCCACTGACCACCTTTCACTCAAGCGCTGTTCCTCAGCGGTGTGGCCGACTAGCCTGTCGCATCGCGTCTGCGGAGCAGAGCGACGATCGCAGGGCTGTAGCTGGCTGCGTTGGACTCCAGCTTCGCCTCCCGCAACTCGCTCAGCAGCGCAAGCGCCCGCTGCCACTGCTCGCCCTTCGCGCACGCGCTGATCCCAGCGCTGTAGCTGATGACGTCGGGCTCCAGCTTCGCCTCCCACATCTCGCTCAGCAGCGCAAGCGCCCGCTGCCACTGCTCGCCCTTCGCGCACGCGCTGATCCCAGCGCTGTAGCTGATGACGTTGGGCTCCAGCTTCGCCTCCCACATCTCGCTCAGCAGCGCAAGCGCCCGCTGCCACTGCTCGCCCTTCTCGCACGCGCTGATCCCAGCGCTGTAGCTGATGACGTTGGGCTCCAGCTTCGCCTCCCACATCTCGCTCAGCAGCGCAGCGCCCGCTGCCACTGCTCGCCCTTCTCGCACGCGCTGATCCCAGCTGATGACGTTGGGCTCCAGCTTCGCCTCCCACATCTCGCTCAGCAGCGCAAGCGCCCGCTGCCACTGCTCGCCCTTCGCGCACGCGCTGATCCCAGCGCTGTAGCTGATGACGTTGGGCTCCAGCTTCGCCTCCCACATCTCGCTCAGCAGCGCAAGCGCCCGCTGCCACTGCTCGCCCTTCTCGCACGCGCTGATCCCAGCGCTGTAGCTGACTAGGGCAGACCTGTGGACTCCGTCCACGACATCAGCTCGACGTGGCGAGGGGTCTCTGGGCAAGCGCGGGGGGGTGCGGCTGCAGGGCCGAAAGGCAATCATGATGGCGTCGGGCTCCTCCTCCTCCTCCTCCTCCTCCTCCTCCTCCTCCTCCTCCTTTTCCACCTTCTTCTCCTCTTTCGCTGGATTCTCCATGCCCTCGGTCGGCAATCGTCGATCCTACGACGACTCTCCCCAACAGAGAAACATCGAAGGCCCTCGGAGCGTCCAACATTGTTCTTTTGTGCCTTCGATATGCCGGTCGCCTCTCGTCCGCTCCCCCGCTCCTGGAAGGAATTCTGAAGGCACTGAAGGCTTCGTAGGGGCCGTTTCGGAGCCTCTTCGGCCTTCGTTTGGGCCTCGCGGGGGGGCTCTTAGGGCTCTCTCGGGCCGTCTTGGGTGCCTCTTGGGCCGTCTTCGGGCCATCTGAGGCCCTCCTTGGCGCCTCTTCGGCTGTCGTGGGCCGTCTTGGGCCGCTCCTGGGGCCGTCTTGGGTGCCTCTTGGGCCGTCTTGGGCGCCTCCTGGGCCGTCCGGACGCCGTCCTGCGGCGTCTTGGGACCGTCTTGGGGCCCTCCTGGCCCGTCTTGGGGCTCTCTTGGGGTCCTCTTCGGCCGTCTTGGAGCGGTCGGGGGGGCGTCTTGGGCCGTCTTGGAGCGTCGGGAAGGCGACGAGGCGAGGAGGCCGAAAACATTGACAAACACAATAGAAATCGACGATTTCTGTCGCTCGGGGCCCTCTTGGGAGGCCTCTTGGGAGGCCTCTTCGGGCGTCTTGGACGCCTCGAGGGCCTCCTGGGGCGAATCTCGGACGTCTTGGGCGCTCTTGGGCTGTCTTGGGCCGTCTTGGGCCGCTCCTGGGGCCGTCTTGGGTGCCTCTTGGGCCGTCTTGGGCGCCTCCTGGGCCGTCCTGGGGCCGTCCTGCGGCGTCTTGGGACCGTCTGGGGGCCCTCCTGGCCCGTCTTGGGGCTCTCTTGGTATCCTCTTCGGCCGTCTTGGAGCGGTCGGGGGGGCGTCTTGGGCCGTCTTGGAGCGTCGGAAAGCCGACGAGGCGAGGAGGCCAAAAACATTGAAAAACACAATAGAAATCGACGATTTCTGTCGCTCGGGGCCCTCTTGGGAGGCCTCTTGGGAGGCCTCTTCGGGCGTCTTGGACGCCTCGAGGGCCTCCTGGGGCGAATCTCGGGCGTCTTGGGCGCTCTTGGGCTGTCTTGGGCCGTCTTGGGCCGCTCCTGGGGCCGTCTTGGGTGCCTCTTGGGCCGTCTTGGGCGCCTCCTGGGCCGTCCTGGGGCCGTCCTGCGGCGTCTTGGGACCGTCTGGGGGCCCTCCTGGCCCGTCTTGGGGCTCTCTTGGGGTCCTCTTCGGCCGTCTTGGAGCGGTCGGGGGGACTTCTTGGGCCGTCTTGGAGCGTCGGAAAGCCGAAGAGGCGAGGAGGCCGAAAACACCGAAAAACACAGTAGAAATCGACGCTTTCTGTCGCTCGGGGCCCTCTTGGGAGGCCTCTTGGGAGGCCTCTTCGGGCGTCTTGGACGCCTCGAGGGCCGCCTGGGGCGACTCTCGGACGTCTTGGGCGCATCTTTAAGCGTGCCGGGGCTCTCCGGGGCCGTCTTGGGGGATTTTTGGGACCCTCTGGACGTGTCTTGGGGCCTCCCTGGGCGGCCCGGAGCCAGCCCGGGGCGGTTTTGGTTCATTGGAGCCTGCACCATTCTGGCACGCACTGGGCCCTGCAATGTAGTAGAGACTAGGGCAGACCTGTGGACTCCGTCCACGACATCAGCTCGACGTGGCGAGGGGTCTCTGGGCAAGCGCGGGGGGGTGCGGCTGCAGGGCCGAAAGGCAATCAGCTGCTGCTGCTGCTCGGAGGTCCTGCTGCTTCCTCCCTCCTCCTCCTCCTCCTCCTCCTCCTCCTCCTCCTCCTCCTCCTCCTCTTCCACCTGCTTCTCCTCTTTCGCTGGATTCTCCATGCCCTCGGTCGGCAATCGTCGATCCTACGACGACTCTCCCCAACAGAGAAACATCGAAGGCCCTCGGAGCGTCCAACATTGTTCTTTTGTGCCTTCGATATGCCGGTCGCCTCTCGTCCGCTCCCCCCCTCCTGGAAGCAATTCTGAGGCCACTTAGGGCTTCGTGGGGGCCGTTTGGGGATCTCTTGGGGCGTTTTTGCCTGCGATATGCCTGTCGCCTCTCGTCCGCTCCCCCGCTCCTGGAGGGAATTCTGAAGCCACTGAAGGCTTCGTGGGGGCCGTTTCGGAGCCTCTTCGGCCTTCTTTTGGGCCTCCCGGGGGGGCTCTTAGGGCCCTCTCGGGCCGTCTTGGGTGCCTCTTGGGCCGTCTTGGGGCCGTCTGAGGCCCGCCTCGGCGCCTCTTGGGCTGTCTTGGGCCGTCTTGGGCCGCTCCTGGGGCCGTCTTGGGTGCCTCTTGGGCCGTCTGGGGCGCCTCCTGGGCCGTCCTGGGGCCGTCCTGGGGCGTCTTGGGACCGTCTTGGGGCCGTCCTGGCCCGTCTTGGGGCTCTGTTGGGGTCATCTTCGGCCGTCTTGGGGCGGTCGGGGGGACTTCTTGGGCCGTCTTGGAGCGTCGGGAAACCGAAGAGGCGAGGAGGCCGAAAACATCGAAAAACACAATAGAAATCAACAATTTCTGTCGCTCGGGGCCCTCTTGGGAGGCCTCTTGGGAGGCCTCTTCGGGCGTCTTGGACGCCTCTTGGGCCGTCTGGGGCGAATCTCGGGCGTCTTGGGCCCATCTTTAGGCGTGCCGGGGCTCTCCGGGGCCGTCTTAGGGGGCTTCTGGGGGCCCTCTCGACATGTCCTGGAGCCTGCCTGGGCGGCCCGGGGCGGCCCGGGGCCAGCCCGGGGCGGTTTTGGTGCATTGGGGCCTGCGCCCTTCTGGCACGCACTGGGCCCTGCAATGTAGTAGAGATGACGCCGGGCTCCAGCTTCGCCTCCCGCATCTCGCTCAGCAGCGCAGCGCCGCTGCCACTGCTCGCCCTTCTCGCACGCGCTGATCCCAGCATTGTAGCTGATGACGTTGGGCTCCAGCTTCGCCTCCCACATCTCGCTCAGCAGCGCAAGCGCCCGCTGCCACTGCTCGCCCTTCTCGCACGCGCTGATCCCAGCGCTGTAGCTGATGACGTGGGCTCCAGCTTCGCCTCCCACATCTCGCTCAGCAGCGCAAGCGCCGGCTGCCACTGCTCGCCCTTCTCGCACGCGCTGATCCCAGCGTTGTAGCTGATGACGTTGGGCTCCAGCCTCGCCTCCGCATCGCGCTCAGCAGCGCAAGCGCCCGCTGCCACTGCTCGCCCTTCTCGCACGCGCTGATCCCAGCGCTGTAGCTGATGACGTTGGGCTCCAGCTTCGCCTCCCACATCTCGCTCAGCAGCGCAAGCGCCCGCTGCCACTGCTCGCCCTTCTCGCACGCGCTGATCCCAGCGCTGTAGCTGATGACGTTGGGCTCCAGCTTCGCCTCCCACATCTCGCTCAGCAGCGCAAGCGCCGCTGCCACTGCTCGCCCTTCGCGCACGCGCTGATCCCAGCGCTGTAGCTGATGACGTTGGGCTCCAGCTTCGCCTCCCACATCTCGCTCAGCAGCGCAAGCGCCCGCTGCCACTGCTCGCCCTTCTCGCACGCGCTGATCCCAGCGCTGTAGCTGATGACGTCGGGCTCCAGCTTCGCCTCCCACATCTCGCTCAGCAGCGCAAGCGCTGGCTGCCACTGCTCGCCCTTCTCGCACGCGCTGATCCCAGCGTTGTAGCTGACTAGGGCTGACCCGTGGACTCCGTCCACGACATCTTTCTGGAATGGTTCTCGGAGGAACGGCGCAGATTGCACCGAAAATCTACAAACACGGCGGCGGCTCGGGCGGCGGCAGCGAGACCGCGCCTTCGTGTCCGAGCTCTTGCAGCGCTCCAGCAGCTTGGCCCAGCGCACTGCTCGTTCACCCCCCTCCTATTGAGGACAGTTTCGAAGTCTCTCGGGAATGTGCGTCGAAGTCGAAGCCCATCTGAGGCGTCTCAGGAGCGCTTGGGGAAGGGCTCGGGAGACCATCGGGGAAAGCCACCGAAAGCGCCGGGGAGGCTCGCAAGGATCTACAGGGAGGGCCCAAGAGAGCTTCAAGAAAATTTGAAATCCAGTGAACTCTTAAGAGAAACCGCTGTTGGGTCGGCCATCACCTCCGGGCGCGCCTTGATGGTGCGATCCAGTCGCATCACCGCCAACGGGAGGGTTTGTTCGCCATGTCCCATTCTGTTCGCCCAGAGGGTCTGTGGAGGCCTTCGGGCGAACAGAACGGGACAGGGCAAGGAATGGGGAAGACATGTCCGAATCTCCTGGGCCCCCCAGATGCTCGTCCGAAGAATGCGGAGAGGTCCCAGGGTCATATCAATTGGCTGCTGTCCCAGGGGTCCGGTCTGCTTGGCCCGAAGAGTTTGCCAAGGCCCCTGGGGGAACAGAATGGCACAGCATATCGGGCAAAGGGGGGCGGTAGCTGGCCTGTCAGACCCGGCGTTCGTCTTCTGCCCAAGCGGCGCGGGGCCCACGGGCCCCAGGGTTGGCGTCCCGCTGGGATTCCTCTTGTTCGCCCACAGGGTTGGAGGAGGCCTCCAGGCGAACAGAATGGGGCAGGACAATGAATGTGGGAGACTTGTCGCAAGCTCCCAGCCCCCCCAAGTGTGCGCCCGAAGGGTGTGGGGCCGCGTTGGCTCCCTCAAAGGGCCGTCTTGGAGCCGTCTAGGCCCGTCTTGAGGGCGCCGTTTGCCCTGATGGGGCCGTCTTGGTTCGTCGTGGGCCCCTCATGGGCGCGTCCGTAGGCCGTCCTGGGCCCATCGGGGTCCTCGTGGGGCTGTCTTGGAGCCGTCTGGGACCGTGAGGAGGCCGCCTTGGAGTCGTCTTGGGCCCCTCCTGTGCGCCTCCTTGGGCCGTCCTGGGCCCAGCAGGGGCCGTGTTGGCACCCTCTTGGGGCTGTCTTGGAGCCGTCTTGAGCCGTCGCAGCGCGCCTTGGGTTGTGCTGGGTCCGTCTTGGCCCGTCTTGGGGCCTTCCTGGGCGGTTCCTCGGACCCTCCTGGGACTTTCTGGGGCCTCTTGGTGCATCGGACCGCCGAAACGGCGGGAAACGCAAAGGGTGTAACAGTAAACAATGGAAAATTAACGATTTTTGCCAGCTGGGACTCTCTTGCCATCTTGGCCCGTCTTGAGGCCCTGAACGGGCGCGTCCTTGGGCCGTCCTGGGCGCACCCTCCTGGGACCGTCTTGGATTCGTCTTGGGCCGTCTTGAGCGCGCCTTGGGCCGTCCTGGGCCGGTTTGGGGCCGTGTTGGCACCCTCGCGGCGAGTGGGGGCCGTTTCGGAGCCTCTTCGGCCTTCGTTTGGGTCTCCCGGGCCGGGGGCTCTTAGGGCCCTCTCGGGCCGTCTTGGGTGCCTCTTGGGCCGTCTTGGGGCCGTCTGAGACCCGCCTCGGCGCCTCTTGGGCTGTCGTGGGCCGTCTTGGGCCGCTCCTGGGGTCGTCTTGGGTGCCTCTTGGGCCGTCTTGGGCGCCTCCTGGGCCGTCCTGGGGCCGTCCTGGGGCGTCTTGGGACCGTCTGGGGGCCGTCCTGGCCCGTCTTGGGGCTCTCTTGGGGTCCTCTTCGGCCGTCTTGGAGCGGTCGGGGGGGCTTCTCGGGCCGTCTTGGAGCGTCAGGAAGCCGACGAGGCGAGGAGGCCGAAAACATCGAAAAACACAGTAGAAATCGACGATTTCTGTCGCTCGGGACCCTCTTGGGAGGCCTCTTGGGAAGCCTCTTGGCACGTATTGGGGGCTTCTTGGGCCGTCTTGGGCCAATCTTGAGCGTCTTGGGCCCATCTTGGGGCGTGCCGGGGCCCTCCGGAGCCGTCTTGGGGGCCTCTTGGGGCCTCCTTGGCGCGTCTTGGGGCCTCCCGGGGCGGCTCCAGGCGGCCCGGGGCCAGCCCGGGGCGATTATGAGTTAATGGAGCCTGCGCCCTTCTGGCACGCACTGGGCCCTGCAATGTAGTAGAGATGACGTCGGGCTCCAGCTTCGCCTCCCACATCTCGCTCAGCAGCGCAAGCGCCCGCTGCCACTGCTCGCCCTTCTCGCACGCGCTGATCCCAGCGTTGTAGCTGATGACGTCGGGCTCCAGCTTCGCCTCCCACATCTCGCTCAGCAGCGCAAGCGCCGGCTGCCACTGCTCGCCCTTCGCGCACGCGCTGATCCCAGCGCTGTAGCTGATGACGTTGGGCTCCAGCTTCTCCTCCCACATCTCGCTCAGCAGCGCAAGCGCCAGCTGCCACTGCTCGCCCTTCTCGCACGCGCTGATCCCAGCGCTGTAGCTGATGACGTCGGGCTCCAGCTTCGCCTCCCACATGTCACTGAGCACTGAAAGCGCGTGTTGCCATTGCCCGCCTTTTCTGCATGCGCTGGCAATCGCAATGTAGTGGCCTGGGACAAGTTGCACACCTAAACGAAGTCCTTCGCGGAGCAACCGCAGTGCTACGCTCCATTGTTTTGTCCGACCGCAGTTCTTGATCGACGCTTCGAGGGAAATAACGCCTTCTCGAGACCCTCGGCCGATGCCCAGCATCCGAGAAGACACGGCACCGCGGCGTGAGCCACATTGTAAATACCTTGGGTCCAAATCGCTCGAGCCAAACTGGCTCGAGCCAAACTGGCTTGAGCCAAACTGGCTTGGGGGATAGAGGAGAGGGAGGGGGAGGAGGAGTTGTTTCACCCGGGTGGGCCTGGGACATTAGTTTCGCAGGGAGAAAAACCTGGACCTGGACTGACGAGGGCTTTGGATGCTTGCCCCGACACAATGGTTTCCAGGCCTGCGTCGCTCCCCTGCTCTGGGGGGGCTCCGAGACAATCCCTCGGAAGATTTCGGGTCTGCCCTCCAGATGTGAATGCGAAGCATACATTGCACGCCTATTCGAGTGTATCGTCGGAGCTCGAAAAAAAAACCGCCAGCTTGTCACTATGCCTCGTGATCGCCAGGGCTCTCTCTGGTGGGGAGCCAGCACATCCCACGGGCAGGAGGTTTCTGCTCCCTCCTGCTGGAAGAAAGGCATACGTGGCAGCGCCAGAAGCGTTTGCGTGAACAAAACGAGAGACGGGCGGCATGCCTACAGGCTCGACACTCCGCACTCCGTCCGAATTGAATCTCAGCCACTCTGGGAGAACACAGGCTGCCAACGCGACAACAGCTCGTGCAACAGACAACTGATCTTCGAGCATGGCCGACTCAGCTTGGCTGGGAAGGGTGAATGTGAGCCCCTCTCTGCGCGGCCCGATCTGCTTCATCAGCACCGACCTTCTGAAACAACAACTCGCCAGCAAGACCTTCACCAGACGCATGTGCCTTCACCTTGTGGACATGCGCATACTTACTGGTGGTCTGGTTAAGCAACGTGCCAGAATACTGCGTCTTATAACCTAACCTAACAAAATGATGGGAGTTAGAACTTCGGACGACATTCGCACAGTCCGAGAACCCAAAACTAGGCCTACGGAGCATAACTCCCCCGTCTGTGAGGTCTGCGTGAGCCACCTTGGAACAGGGCCCTCGAGGGCGCACACAATATTACGCTCACTATCATATACACTGGCCCCCAGCCAGCTCTACATAATTCAGGGAAGGGGCTCTTAAGGCCAGACCCATCAAAACACACAGAAACCTCTTCCAAGATCGGGGGCGGCACCATATCTCCAGGGTGACTGAAGAGGCTCGAGGTAAACAGGAACCAATCAGGATGGTCGGGAGGGAGTGCGGCAGCACGATCGATGATCTCAGATTTAACCACACCTGATCGAATCTCGCTAGCGGTCTGGCAGCACCATAGCCCGCGATAGATGCTGTCATCCTGTCCGCACAGCTGGCAGGACAGATCGTCGATGAGATGCCCTGCCTCCTGCGCCCTGGGGCCCGTCCAAATGGCAGTGCAAGCGAACGAACGAACGCGCCCCTTCTGGAATGCCGACCACTTCCTGGAACTCAGGGTCCGGGTAAAAACATGGAAACATAACTGAAAACCTTCGGGGGGCCCATGCTTCACCGCGGATTGCCTCTGAAGTTGCCTCGCAACTCCTTCCCTCGAGAGCTGTTGGACCAACCTGGGACTGGTGGTGGTCAAACCGATTTGGACTCCCTGATCCGTCTCCAGCACCATAAAACTTGGCCTGCCCCAGCCTAGCCTGCGCAGGGGAGCTCTCGCTGCCGACGCAGGTCCCGACGCTTGCCTCCGCGAAGGAGTCGGGCCCGCGAAAGCTGCCTCCCATGCTCGCCGCCAAGGAGGACAAGGAACACCATTATGGATTATGGTAGAGTCTGGTCTGATTCGGCCAAATCTCGTCGGCCAGGCGCAGCACGGGAGCGATAGGGCGTTGCAGCACGGGTCGCGCTCCGGCATCAAAGTAGCGGGGCTCCTGGAGCCCGCGGAAGGTTTCACGAATTTGCTGAAACATCTCATGAGGGCCTCGAGCTCCGTGTCCGAAGCGCGGTGGACCTCGGCGCCGTAGGTGGTTCCACGTAGGGGCCCCGCGATGAAGATATTCCGGGAATGCTGCCCCAGGGCATTCTTACCCTTCTTGAACCGACGGAGCCTGCCCAAGATCACGCGCATACGATCGAGAGCCTTAGATGCGATCGAGAGCCTTACATGAGCCCTCCTTCCTCCTACGAGGCCTACCGGCCGCGTCGTCAACGCCCAGATTGACCGCCGATATCGCGTTGCCGTCGCCTCCGAAGAGGCCCAGGAACTGGTTGGGGGTCTTCCCCAGACGACCATTGGAGGCCACGGCAGCAGCCTTATCCTCCGCCACGGAACGCGCCATGCTATCCTGGATTGCTTGCGTGACCGTGGCGGTGAGCTCTGAAGGTCCGAGCGCGCGACGACCTTCTCGCCGACGGGCGAAATATGGCGAAATACCAAAGTCGCCAACATATAGATCCAAGGATATGGAGCTAGGAATCACGAGCATGTCGAATACAGGAATACCATATATGCGCACATAGGCGGCAGCCATCGAACATCCTGCGACGACTCCCGCCTCCCTGACGTCTCTGCGCGGCGACGCAGGGCCCTCCTCGATCTCTGGCTGCCGACCTCAAGGCGCGCGGGCGAACGGCCGCCGCGTAGACCGTCGGCCGCGCAAAATACTCCAGCGGTGCGCCGCTTAAGCGAGCGCTCCCAAGCCGCGGGGGCAAGCTCAGCGACCGCCATGGGGCCCGTGGCCGACCTTGCCGCGACTCGCGACTCCAGTCGCTCAGATCGTGAAAATCCGCGCAGGGCAGGTGTCGGCCCAGCCGAGCCAGCGGGCCTCTGGCGGCGCGTCCCGCGCGGGCACCGGCTTCTCTATGGGGGCCTTCAGCGGAGAGTCTAACCTCGTGATCCTGGCGGCTCGCCCCGCGCCTTTCTCGGCGCGACTCGGGGGCCGGTTCGCGCTTGAATCGGCGCCCCTTCAAATTTCTCACGCTGCTCTGAGAAGAGGCGAGCACCCCGCTACAGACCCTGACATTTATTTCCCCAGCTTCGCGCGCGGGCCTCCCTGTTTGCAGGATGACCCTCTGGCCCTGGAGGCCCATCAGGCAGCGCCTTCCAGCGCCCCGCCCAGGCCTCCCAGGAAACCCGCCGGCCCAGCGAGCAGATCAATGTTACCCTTGAAACCCACTGACGCGATCAGGCACGCAAAGAACACGTTGAGCGGCCGCCCTGGCCCAACGTTGCACGTCGCACAGGCGATCCGATGCACTGGCAGATTGCTGGTCACTGGGCTGGGGCACGGCGCAGCTGGCAAACGACACATCACTGCTGCGCCGCCACTCGAGCTGAGGGCGCCCTCTCCCGTGACCTCTGCGGCTCGGGCTGAGCTCTGAAGCCCGCGCTTGGCCGGCCACTCCTTCGCCGCTAAGAGCTCGCCGCTGAACTTGAGGCGGTGCTCCTTCAGGCGCGCCGACTGTAGCAAGCCAATTTCGCCTCTTGCGCCATCTGCTGGCTGTCTGTCATGGCACGCCCATTTAAACATATTATAACGCACGCCCCGAGCTTCAGCTTGAGACTTTTGCGCCCCTGCCCTCGACGGCCTGGACCTTCGCGGCGTCGATGGGGCTCTTGATGCTCTCGCCTGCCTGCGCGACGCCTCCACCGCCTGCAGCTGGGCGCCCCGGGCTGCTGGCGCCTCCGGGGGCGCGGCTTCTTGGGCGGCGCTGCCCGGCATGGAATTGGGCGCCCCCTCGACATTTCCGCGGCGTTCTCCGCTGGAAATACCTTTGGAAATAGCCGCCCACAGCTGCCGCGACTCTCCGCGTCGCTGATTTTCACGGCGCCGCGGGCGTTCTCGCTGCCCGATCCTGCCTGCGCGACGCCTCCGCTGCCTGCTCCGGAGCGCTCCGAGCTGCCGGCGCCTCTGGCGCCTCTAGGAAGGACGCGCTCCCTGGGCGGCGCTGCGCGCAGGGGGCGGGGCGCCCCGCCGACTGGCGACGAGGAGGGCCCCGGCCTCGCGCGCGCCAGCCTCCGCGACCCGAGCGGCGCTATCTGGGGGCCCTGGCCAAGGCACTTCTCGCCTGGCCCAGCACAGGGCGGGGGGGGAGTGGCAGCATTCTGCGCCGCCAGCAGCGTGACCACTTGCTTCAGCAACGTCAGCTCCACTAGCTGGATCACGCGCTGCGCGGCCGCCACCAATCGCCCCTTTCGAATCGAGATTGGGTGGCCGATGCGCGCTCCCCCAAACGGATTAGGCCGGCAACGTCTGCCCAGCCCCCCCTGCAAAACATGGGGCGTCGCCTGCTTCCACAAGACTTGGACACTGGCCATCTCCGCCGCTGCCAGCCCCCATGCCAACCGTAGCTCCCGCTCGACTGCCAGCGCGCGCGCCGCCATAACAAACAAGACGAACAGCGCCGCCGCCTGACGCAGCAGTGGGAATTCGGCCTCCCACGCTCGACGTACTCTCATACACTGTGGCAATACCCCCACCCACTCGACTGTTGGCATGCACGCCACCAGAACCAGCAGGCCGCGCGCTGTTGGCGCCCACCTCCACTTTGGAGATAAGGCCACCCACGCTGAAAGTACCCACCCACTCGGTCGTCAGCAACACCGCCAGCAGAACGAACGAAAGGACTTGCTGCCTCGGGGGTGGCCGCCTCATACAAACGCTCCAGCAAGGACGAGCAGCACCAATCAGGCCTCACGACTGGCATTGCAAAGCCCAGCGCAAGCGATTCCAAGTCGATGGTATTCTCCTTCCGAAACTTCGAAATGTTGGCCATGCCTACCTCGCCCCCGTCAAAGATTCCGCGCGCGCTTTCCTCCCGAGGCCGCTGCAGCCCGGGCGCAGGAGCCGCGGGCGGCCTCCTGCTCGGCTGGCTGGGCTTTCCGCAGCTCGTCGAGCGCCTTGGCAAAGTCGGCCTGGCGCTCCGCGAGGTCGTTTCCCTGCAGCGCCTGCGCCTCCATATCGATGTCGTCGCTGTCGACAGGGATGTTGACGCCGTGGCCGAGGGGGGTCTCGGCCTCTCCAGCAGCTGCGCCACCACCGTCATCAGGATGAGCGGCAGCAGCAGGAGCAACATTGGAGCACGCCTGGCCT